AATTTTTCACAAACTACTCGTGCGATTTTTTACAAAATTTGGCGGTTTGGCATAATTTAAGTCATAGAACCGAAATATGGGACAAAATTGTCATGTCATTTCAGAAAAAGTCCGATTTCGCCTCAAAAAACTAATGTTAGAACAATGCTACATATAAATCTAATATATATCCTAATACATATCTGCGCTTTCAAGACATGAAAAGTTCAAGTTAAACTTAGTCAATCAGTCCTGGAGAACTGTCCTATTTTTATTCATTTATTAATTATTATTATTATTTTGTGTAAGCTGTAAATTGTTCTTTAGCTTACACAAACAAATCACTTTTAACAATATGAATTTTTTTAACAACTAAATCATGTGTTTTAGAAGTACCCAAGCCATGCTTTTGAGACAAGAAAAATGCAAGTTGAATTTCATCAATCGGCCCAGTAAAATAGGAAATTATAGAATTGTCCTTTCTTTTCTTTTCTTTTTTTTTTCTTTTTTTTTTTTTTTTTTTTGAGCAGTGTACATCAGTTACATTCCTATTATTAAAATGCTTTCTGAAGTATCTCATTTTTGTGTTAATTCTTTAAAAATGTGACAGTGGAAAACTACCCTTTCACTTCCCATACATTCTATATGAGTTCTATTGCATTCTGACCATACATTCTATAATGAGTATTGCTCGTATAGCTGCCTTCTATCACCCCCTAAAGTTTTGCCCACTTGTTCAGATACACCCGGTAAAAACATTGTTAATTTTTCATTAAAATAAACTGCTGAACTGTAAAAAATAAATTTATTTTACATTCACTAATCTTCTGTTTCCCACTGATACAGATTTAAATATATACGTAATAACTTGAAAAAAATCGATAGCACAGTAAATAGTACATGCATAAGGAAAAAAACTTGCACACATGGGCGAATTTAATTACTTCTGTTCCATTCATGGTTGACACATATTTTTCATTAATCCAACAGAATAGACCCTATATGCACCCAACATTTTTGGAAGCTTAGCACATCTTAATACAATGGACAATACACAGAGAAGTGAGCCATTATGCGTATTAGCAAGCGCAAAAGTGACAAATATTCAGAATAAGCATTAGGAGAGTGTTAAAAAGTTTTGGTTCTCAACAGAAATCTTATTCAGTGAATGAATAAAAGGCACCAGTACTGCAGCATTACATATGATTATGTAATGTGGAATAATTTTGAAATGATGCAGTTCAAATTAATGTATTATAAAGAGTTACTAATTTTAGGAAAGAAGGGGGAAGTATCCAAATTAAAATGAAGAATAAAAGTAACTGCCCTTTAAAATTAGAAATTTGCCTTCATATTTTTTCATCTTACACATTCCCACATTCAAAGACAGAAAGGCTTACAACAGAAAATAGAGCAGCAAAATAAAAGAACTACAATAAGCAAAATATAAATCATCAAATTTTGCAGTACATTTTAAAATAACATAGAAATAAATCTTGAGCACTGCATGTTTGAGACTAAATGCAGTTTCTAGAATCCTACTGATATTTGAGACCAATACAGAAAAAATTCTTTTTTCTGAAAAGTAATTTTAAGGTCCTATTAATTATAAATATTTCAGTCCAATTTAAAAAAATCTTTTGTTATTCAATTTACAAAAATCAAAGTATACATAATGATCATGATCCCAAGGGAAGTTTGTTTTTAACATCACAATCATCAAAAATATAAAAATTTTATATGCCTATTACTTATTCTGAGTAATCATAATTAATTTCAAAATTTTACTATAATATACATAATTTTCATATTTATAACCTGCATTTGAACTTCATAAATATAACAACATTTAGTGAAATTATAGTTTCACTGCTATTATAACATTTTTAAATTCCTTATTTTACACAAAATTGGAATACTCCACCTTTCTTCAAATGCAAACATATCCGGGTTGACTTGATTAAATTCAGGAGAGATGAACAGTTATTCATAAAGGCTTCTGCTCCTTAAATACGATAACTAGCCTTTATAAACTGCACTAAAACATTCCATTATATATACATATAATAATTCTAATAAGGTGGAAGCATTCAACTCTTAACTTGCAGGAGAAGGATAAAAGGAGCAATTGTACAGAAGTAAAAATATATTTCAATTTCTGAACAGCACCCCTCAACATATTCTATTTCTATGTACACTTATTCATTAATTCCAAAATTTATTTACCACAATTCAACATTTTATGCAATAATTTCCCTTTTAGTTACATTATCCATAATCAATTTTATTATAATTATACAATTTTTTAAATATTTCTATATTCATTATAATAATATTCACTATCAAAACATTTAATTTTTGCTGTATTATCTCAAAACACAATTTTATATCACTATCTGTGCAAGTTTCAAAATTATTTCATTCTTTTTTTACTTTTACTTTATTCTTAAAATTTAAAACTTTGAAGCAATAATCTTGTAATAAGCCAAAAATTCTTAACATTCATTCAAAACTTTTAAGCAACAGTCTTCTTGTTAAAATAATTTCAAAATTCTTATCATTAATTCAAACAATTTTATAGTACTTAAATATAATGACTTAGACTGCAATTTAGTAAGCTTCTCTGAATAAAAATATTAAAATTCTTTAGTTTTTTTCAAAAGAGTTATTTAAATTTCTAAAAAAATAAAATTTTGGTTTGCTATCATTTTCATAAACACTGCTATATTTTAATCTAGTACAGTAAGAAAAACAGCATTATGTATTTTTATTTTAAATTGCATCAATTGATTAATAAATTACTTACTTCATGGTAATGAAAAATGTTAAGCATACATTATTAGCAAAATAACAGTAAATATACTCACAAAATTTGTAAATTTAAAACCATATAAAGGGAACATTGAAGTATTACATTGTTTTTCCATGAACAACATTTTTTGCTTTTTCAAAACAGTAAAATCGATTGTTCAATATTTTCCCCTAAATTTAGATGCAAAATCAAAGTCCACAGCATAATTTTAATTCTTGCAAAATTGAAAAAGAACATGATTTAATTTAGTCAACAAAATAGCCACAGTGTAATGAAGATTAACATCGAAGATTTTCTGTCTACTTCTGTTTTCATTATAAACAAAATCGATGACCTTATTTTCTTTATAATGAAAATAGAAGTAGACAGAAAACATCTGCCTAGGCACTTTAAATCACTTTTAAATATAATCTGCTGGTTGATTTTCATTTTAATTATAACTTAAACAATCATGTTTTCAAGCAGCAGAAAGCTGTAAATTTAAACACTAGGATGACGCAGAACAATTTTATAGCTTTGTGGTTGACAACAGATATTGATAACAATTACTTTATTTTGATACATTAATATATTTACATTACTTTTAGGTAAAACATACCTGAAATAACATGTAAATACTGACATTTATAATGCCCAGTTTGCAATGCCTAAGGATGCATCTGTTATAGGAAATTATATATATATGGAAACGTATACCAAAAAAAGTATTTAAAACAAATAATTTAAGGAAGAAATTTTGGAGGAAAATAATATGTCTATAAAACGTACCCAGTACGAAATAATTCAGCTAGCTTCAAACAAGCAGAGTTAATTAAAATTGGAAATGGATACTTTTCAAACAGTCGTGGAAATCTTACAATGGCTTCACACTGTTCTCCAACTTTGGCCGATCTCAAACCTATGAATACAAAATTATGTATTTAATTCTAGAAGTACAAAATAATAACATCATTCTAAAACTACTTTGCTCAAAAAACATAAAAGCATACAACACAAGATCTTAAATCCTGACAACCAGTAACCAGTATGACCTATTACCTGGACTTCCTACATTTTTTTTTTTCTTTTTTTGAAATTTTCTACATTTTACACAGTGTAGGAATGAATAATGATACTAAAGAAAAACCAAGTACGTGGTAAATATATTTTATTCTGATTAGCTAAGCTCTTGTCATCTCTTCTCCAAGTGTCCTTATTCATGCAAATGTTGAATTATTCTGCCTGTTACAATTTTCATTTCCCACTCTCGAATGGTTGTGGGGAGGGGGAGGCATCATTTTTCTAGCTTATCTTGCCTTGTATACTATGAATGAACCCCAAAGACCAATATTTGTTGGAAGTGGAATGCTCTAGTTTGTCTGGAGTGGAATGTTGCAGTTTGTTAAGTGAGTGCTGGTTTTCTTTTGTTGGCCTAGCATTGAAGAAAGCGAAAGATTTAGGTCCTTGTTTAATTTAATTTCATCTTTCTGATTTGATCCATCATATTACTTTGTTTAGTCAAACATTATTAGAATTATTTTATAGGAATTACAGTTTTGGTGAATCTTTGATTTACTCTGCTTTTAAAACTTTATATACATCAACCAGCTAATAAATTCTGGAATTTTGCACATATTTTTAAAGATAGCTTTAAAAAACTTATTCTAAAAAGTACCTTTTTTTAAAAATCAATGCTGCAGCTAGACCACTGTGGAATTTTTTAAATATTTTTAATATAAAATCTGAAATGTGAAGCACTGAAAAGTCATAAGAAAACAGGTCTGCAGAACTTTTAAAAATGCTCCCACAGGCAGAGAATTATTAAATTAGACAGAATGCATTAACACATAAAATAAAACTGCTTAAACAACTTACGTTGCAAAAAATTTATAATAAAACGAATGTTAGCATTAAGCTCAATTTTTTATTTTGTTGCTGTACATTTCTGTGATGTAAAATTGATCAGTTTTCCATAAACTTGCCCTTAGAGGGCAGTACTGGACAAGCCAAGATCAAGTGAACTTCAAGATCAAGTGAATAAGAAACTGTCTTTAGTGCCTGAACTGTTTAATAAAAATGTTCTGTTAAAAGTCTTTTAAACTATATTTTTAGAACGGCAACTTCTAAATAATTTATTTAATGACTCATATCAGCCATTCTTGTAAAAAAATATTCTTTGCTTGTAGAGACATTAGATATTTTTTAAAGCATCAAAGGTGAAAACGAGCAATGCCTTTGCCAGGAATCAAACCACGGACCTCTGGGATATGCACCCAGTGTGCTGACCACTACACTACAAAGGCATGCTATGAACGTGGGACAAATACCCTATATACAACTCCTTCTAAGGGTGACTGGGGGGTTTAGGGGACCCAATCGCCAAATCCAGGGTGTGGAGAATCCTCATCCACACCCAGGACTTTAGTTCAGGCTCCACTGTAGAGATTTTTGGTTATTTTTAAAGCACGAGAGATGAAAAATGAGCAACGTCTTCGCTGGATATCGAACTACGGACCTTTGGAATATGAACGCAGCATGCTGACCACTACACTACGAACGCATGCTAAGAAGGCAAGAGAAATACCTTATATGCTATAAGAATAAATGTGCCGATTAATGAATCAACCTCTTTTTTTTTTTTTTTTTTTTTTTAATTCTGGACAAGCTTTTAGTATTCTTCGATGTTAATCTTCACACAAGACAGGTGAGTTAGCTTGTACTTATTTTCTAGCTTGCTCTATGTCTTGAATGAGTGAAAGAAGTTTTTATTCATGAAATACATTTTAATTTGAACCTCCTTATGTCTAGTAGACACCTTTAGTTCTTGAAAATAGGATTTCTTTTAACTTCTGATAGTGCATGGGAAATGAGTATCTGCTCATACTCAGATTGTCCTAACATTAATTGGTGTCTGCAGCAAGATCTTTAGAAACAAACTTTTAAGAAAGTATTTTAATAGTTTTGATGTAATAAAGTATATTTAAGTTTAGAATCATAACTATTTTGTAAAGTGTTTTGTTTCGATAGTTAAATATGGAAGCTTTATAGGCTCTGAAGCTTAAGCAGGGAGGTTTATGCCCTTCTTTTGTGAAAACAGAAAAAATTTCAAACTGGAGTTAGTAAAAGATTTTTTTAATGTGTTTTTAGATATAAAACGTCTAGATGATAAAATTCTTGATTTGTTAACTTAAGACGTGAACACTTTAGGGGACAATGCCACTAAAGAAATTGAAAGTTGTATAGTGTATTCTGATGATCTTATAATACTAACTCTGAAGATTAATGAACAATTACAATTTTCAGATAAAATTAATTTAGGAATGAAAGTAAATGATAGTACTTGCTGTAATACAAGCAAATAATTGATTTAAGAAAATTGAGCTAAACAAATTTCATGAGGAAAAGAATAATTGGCTGCCATTTCAGTCACAGTTTGATAAAATTCACAGTGATTTGTATGAGAATAACAAATTCTTCTATTTGATTCAGTGCATGAATCTTCACGTGCTAAAGAATTTTTTCAAAGCTATTCAGTGATTCCAGAAAATAGTCTATATTAGGGAAATAATTAAATAAATTTTTCTAATGTTAAGGCACATAGCAAAGAAAAATTACCTCTTGATAAACTAATTTCATTCGAGAGCCTTAGAATCTTTAGGATTGAATTTGAACAAAAATTCAACATGGTTATTTCCAATGGTATCTTGTCTCACACAGGTTGTTTTAAAGGTATGGCAAAGGAGTTCGCTCTTGATCAATTTCTTGCTCAGCAGCATTAGTTAGGTTATCATAATGAATAAGCATTTCAATTTTTGGACAATTTGCTTCCAAATCTGACAACCAAATATAGTTGCAAAATTGGATGCTTGGGCTCCGAGGTATATCTCCACATATTACTTTCTCATCTAAAAATTCAAATTCTAGATTTGAATGTTTACAAGGATTGGCTGAAAAAAATTTTCTCTAAGATTTGTAATTCTAATTTTTGTATTCTTTAATTTCTGGTTCTAAGTAACCACAATATTTTCTTTAGAGGCAATTTGTAACCCCAGTCCTGTGGCTAATGATTCCAAAACTGGTTGTAATGAACGTTTTCTGTCAAAAAGAGTTCTCAATAAAGTTACGGAAAAAAAAAAAACGAAAGCAGTATCCTTAGTGCTGGTAGTAATTACCACCCAAATCTATGATTTTCTGCCAATGTTTTAGTAGCTTTTCAAAGCCTTCGGCCCAGAAACTTGATGGTTGTGAGTCCAAAAAGATCATCCTCATTTCAGACATCCTATGCAGAATGGAAGATAACACCAGCAAGATTTTGCTGCAGGTGTGAAAAAAAAAGGTAGACGTCCAAAGGTGTGATGTTGGGTTTATATGGTGGGTGTGGCAAAAGTTCCCATTCGAGTTCGTACAGAGTCCAGCCGGTGAATGCTGACACATGTGGTCTTGCATTATCTTGATGAAGCATTACCTTTTTGCACCAGAATTCGATGATTCTCCTTCATATCATTATCAGCACAGAGTAGCATCTTGCTGTACATCTTACTGTTGAGAGTTTTACCTTTTCCCAGATACTCTTTATACCACAGCAATCCCATCAGATACAAAGCATCATCTTTTTGTTCGTCAAATTGTGGTTTGCAATGCTGCAGATGTGTTCGGTGGGCACAATCAATCCACTTTTCAGCCTGTGTTGTTGAATCTACTTTTCATCACAAGTGACGATTTGGGCCAGAAGTTTGTCCTTGTGTTGATATTTGAGCAGATTAGTGCAGGCCTTAACATGTCTGTCTTTATCTGCTTGAGCCAGCTCACAGTGACTGAACTTGTACGTCAAGTATATGCGATGCATAGCATGACTAATGGATATGTCACTAATGTCTAATTCCTTAGCAAGCTCTCGACTGGTTGCACACTTATCTTCCTCTACAAGTTCTCGCAGACAGAGAGATTCACTCATCAACATCAGCAGGTCTACTAAACCTGTACACATGATTTGGAGACACTCTGTAAGAACTCGAAGTAAATAATGGTTCTAATCTGGTAGTGTGATAGTTCCATTTTAGACACCTTTTACTTAATGATCATGATATTTTTTTACAAATTTTACAACATAGTGTTCTAAAGCAAGCCTCTTTCTTTCAAATGACAAAAATTATTTGACAAAATATAATTAAACAAGCCAATGTGAACTGTTTGTGCAAATGATATTTGCGGTATTGGAAAAGATCAATCTAAGAGTACTGTAACATCTTTATACTTTTTGACACCAGCTATTCTTACCCAGAAAGTCATTACAGCTACTTCCACAGTACAAGTTGTCCTGGCAATGTGCTATTAGCCTCTCTTTTCAGAGTTCTATTTCTGGACACAAAATAACTGAATGAGCTTTACCACTAGTAAAGCACTAACAAACTGTTTACAAAACTTTGAAACCTGAACATTATGAAATAATGAATGTGCATCATAACTGTTTTTATTGCCATGCATTTTACTGCAAAAAATACAAGCATAATTTTTAGTAGTAAAATAATAATAATAATAATAATAATAATGGCAGTAGGAGCATTTGCCCATTTCTTAAATTTAAATTTACCTTTTGCTTTATGATGATATTTTTCTTTGTGAATAATACTATCAAGTCCATTACAAAACAACTTTAATCTCTCCTCACCCTTCACTTTAACCTTTATAAATAAATTTCATTGATTCGTAAGGTGGGAAAGATGTTGAGGGTGAGGAGAAATTACAGTTGGCTAGTGTCTAAAGAGCTAGAGCTTTGTACAGGCAAAGATGAGTGTGTATGAGTAGTAAAAGTGAAAACTAGAAATGGTATATTGGTTCACTCTGACTGGAAACTGTACCCTCTCGAAGTGAATTTCTGCAGTATTGATACTATTAATTTGCTTTTACTTCTGAAAATAAAAAATAGGCTGGAGTGTTGTGAAACTGATCGGTGCTTTAGAAACTTGCTTATAGAAGGCAGTACTGGGCAAGCGAAGATCAAGTGAACTTCTAATAAACTGTCCTTAGTTTTTGAGCTCTTTAGTAAAAATGCTATGGTCTTTTTACCCTCTGAGTGCCATGACTGGCTTTATCCGGTCATGAGATTTTTTTTCACTTGGTATATATATATATTAACTTATAATTTATGATATTTTAATTTCTTGAATAATATAAACTTCATCTTAATGAATGTAAGTTTATGAAAATAGAGACTACAATAAGTAAATATACAAATTTAGCTGTACTACAGAATGTTTAAATACAGATCTTCATAAGAGATCCAAAAACCTGTGCCAATCAGAGGATTAAACTATATTTTTACAACTTTGAGAATGGCAGCTTCTAACAAATTTTATTGATTTAATGACTCTTATCAGCCATTCTTGTAAAAAACTGTTCTGTATTATGGGGGAATAAAAGTGTTGATAAATGAATAAACCTCGTTCATTTTTTGTTTCTATACCAAGCATCGCCTTTAGCATTTTTTAGTGTTCATCTTTGCATTACACAGATTAAGTCAAGTAGTCTTTTTTTTTTTTTTTTTTTTGGTTTACTATATTGTTTAAATGAGTGAAAGACATTTTTATTTGTGAAGTATGAATTTACTTATGTCTGGCAGACATCTTTATTTCTTAATCTTAATCCTTCTTTTGTCTTCTGATGGTCCACAGCAAATCAAAATTACCTTTCGATTTGAGTATAAACTTCTATCCAGAATTTCTGTCCTAACATTCTGAATTAAACCAATTTCTTACTAATATATGCTAAATTCTGAGATAAATTCAAAATTGTGTTGAAGAAATTTTAATTACAGGTGTGTTTTTCGTGTTACTCCTTTCAGCCAATTTCTTTTTACAGACAGATGCTTTAACCTTTAACCTCTCACATCATATGCTTTAACCCTTAGCGCTCCACACATTTTTGTACCACTGCCTGCCAGCAACTCCAGAACATTTTCGCAGCGAAACGAGTGAAACAGAGTCTTATTTTAAGTGAGAAGAATTACATGTGCTGTGATGTTTTTATTTTTTTATTCTATAATACATAGCATTCTTCTTGCAAATGAAAGATAATTTAAATTTTATAATAATATGGTGTAAATCTTTGGAAACTTCCCTGTGCTCCTCGGTTACCTGCATGTCAATCGAAGTCTTCCTGGGACTTCATCGTCACTTTCAATAATCTCATCATAATTTCTTTGGTAGATTTTTTGGAACACTACTTAAGTGTAAGAATTAAATCAAAACCGTCTTTTAACACTTGAAAATCAAACACGTCTTCACAACCACTTAACTCTAAATTCTCATCATGCTGCATAAGAAAGGTTAAAAAATGTTTTAATCATAACAGTACAGAGACTGAGCACGTTTTAACTACAGATAACAACTGCCAACAGCGATGATACCATGGCATCTTAAGCGTAATCATGCTAAAAACATTTGGCTCTGCAGCAGAGCCTACGGAGCTGCGGAACAAATGCCGGATGATCCCATAGCACAGCCAATGGAGCTAAAAACATTTGGCTCTGCAGTGGAGCCTTTCAGAGCTGCGGAACAAATGCCAGATGGCCCCGTAGCAGAGCCAACAGAGCACTAAGTGTTAATAATTGGTTATTTTGCTTGAATTTCACTTTGTTCAGTTTGTAAAGTTTTTAATTCTTTTGCAGCCTAAGTAGTGCAATACAAAGTCCGTAATCTGGACTTGTTGGGACTTTGGCGATTCCAGATTAGGGGTTTTTCTGGATTATAGATCATCAATTTAAATCTCGTAAAATGGCACGCAGAAATTATACAATTAAAAATATGAAACCGTAATTTATGAAATAAAGAGCAATTATATCTAAAAGATATCAAAATTTACAAAAAAAAAGAGCTTAATATTATTGTTACTTTATTAAACAATTTTTTCAGTGTAAGTTGTTTAATTGCTTTTTTTTTAGCTAATACTTCTCTTTAATTCTAAACACTATTTCTTGTTCATTACCAAGTTCCACCTTCAGTCCTTAATTGCTGTGTCGAGAATACCGACTAACTTGTCAACCAAATTTTTCGTTTTCAATAAATAACTCTCTGTCCTTTTTCACTATAGGAAGCGGATTTGTCTGGATCTAAAACTAAATTCTGTCCGTTAATTGATTGATGATTGGGGCATTGTCATCACAATGAAAACCTTCTGTTATATCATCTTCATTTATTACCGCTTCTCTACATTTCTTTACAAATTCCAATAATTGGAAAATTTCACCTTTAGTTTGTGATGTCCGAAAACCTTCAAATTCACGGCTATCATCTTCATCATGTATCTGGAGACACATCCTCCCAACGCGTATGCGTAAACGCATTAAGGCACATGCGTAAACGCATTACACGCATGCGTAAAGCAAACAAAAAAAAAGTTTGTGGCCTTGAGTTCCGGTTTATAGCTCATTCTGGATAATGGACGTCCGTATTATGGACTTTGTACTGCACTATCAATTTTCCCTGATAAATTAAGAAATTTCTGAAATTTGAGAATTAAAGAAGACACATTTTATTTTTCAATAGAAATATAAGGATAAGCTATTTTGATACTTACGTATGAACGCCACTGCAGCAGAAGTTGCGCTGATGCGCCAATAAAAAGCAATCCTGTTGTTCACACATAGTTATCTTTTGGATACTTTTTTGCCTTGTAGTGTTCTGATTTTTAACGCCATTTTTTAGTGCTACGAAAATACGTCTTTGTGATTTGCCAAACAGAGAGAAATATGCAATTTTATTTTTTCAGGAGCGAAATAGTTTAAAAAAAAAACGAAAATGTACCAATTCGCATGATATGAAACTTTATTTTGGTAAACGTATGTTTTGGAAATTTAATTTAAGACAGTGTGATCAGCAAGTGGGACTTAGAAAAGACAACTGGTTTGAAGGAAGCAGAATTCCATTTTGTTCAGCTTTGAGCTTTATATACTGATGGTGCGAGGAGTTGACGTCGATTAAATTTTGCGAAAAGCAACTTGATTTATTGGATAAAACTGTTAGAGATTCGAACAATTACATGCGTGAATTATGTGTCTTGGATATGGAGAATAAACCAAACAAGAAGGTAAGTGGACCAGATTGCACTGTAAAGTTTGTTTACTAAGCGTAAAAATAATTGTGGTCGAGTATTATCTGAAGAGTGGGTGTTTGGTGGTACATGTAGAGAAACAAAAGATTCGTTTGTTGTCACTGTTGCTAATAGAACTGCCTCTACCCTTCTTAATAAAATTATTGAAAACATTGCAGATGGTAGCACAATTTATTCTGACAGTTGGAAAGGTTACAAAACAAACAGAATAGAAAAAGAAGGATTCCTACATGCTAAAGTTAATCATAAATACAATTTTATTGATCCTGATACAGGAGTTCATACACAGACAGTTGAGAGAATGTAGGGCAGTGCTAAATGGAAGAACAAGAGACATAGGGAACAGCAAGACATCATTTAGAATCTTATTTAGCAGAGTTCGTATGGCAACAGCATCAGGTCAAAGAAAATAGAGTCTATGTTTTGAATCTATGTTAAAATTTATATCGGCCCATTTTCCACCAAAATCCGATTGACTACTTTGATTTTAAATAAAGTGTTTTGGTTTATGAAAGTGATTTGATTTTATGATTTGTGACAAAAATTTTAGATGTAGTTTGGCAGCACTTAAAAACCGCCAAATCTGCAGCTGCGGTGGCATTAATACATAAGTACCGCTGTTTTCATTAAGAATATACTAAGTATATAAAACAGAAAAACTGACACAGAAGTCATATTTAACATTTTAATTGTAACTCTCACTTTTGTGCTACAAATTATTAATAATGTTAACTCTTTTATTTATAAATAGAATATTAAACACTCCAATTTTATTTCTTTGAGATTAAATTTATTCTGTTCCTACAACATTATAAACTCTTTTAAGTTGTACAAGAAATGGTTTTAAGTATAGCTTGCTATTCGGTCATACTTCATGAATTAGAATTTGATAATTTTTTTTGGTACTTTTGACGTTTCGCCGCCTCAAATCTCATCAAGCAGACTTTGTTGGCGACAACATACAGTATAAACATAAAAAATGTTAGCAAATGTTAATTCTAAGAATTTTTTATTTTGAAGGCATAAGCATTTTAATATGGTTTAAAATTTTGTAAAAAGCCAATAAATTTGTAAAAAGACATTAATTTAAGAAATTACTATGCTTTCATGGTTCAAAATCCTGATTCGCCAGTTCGTATCATGTGACCCCAAGTGATCTCATCTCACGTAAACTACACTACAAAAATCTAATTCTTTCAGTAATTATCTACATTAATTTCAAGTTAAATCTTAATTTGGAATACAAGTTTAAATGCAAGAATTATTTCAATTCGTATGAATAGCTTACTCAGAAATTATGTAAAACTGCAGTGCTTTACTTCGCTAGTGCATTCTCATTAGAATGATGAATTTAACGCTTGATTTTGCCTTTTCAATACTTTCTTCGGGTGAGCGGTGTGATTGCATTCTAATTGACTTAATTACCGCATATTGTCTTAGGTAATAAAAATTAACTATCTTGTAAAAATTCTCTGTAACTGTACTGTAACAATTGTATGCCAGTATTGAAAGAAACAATCAATCTGATAAGAAATGGCTGCGACTTGTTTTGAAACTGAGGTGTAAAAGGTTACCAAGAAAGATATTCCGTTTGTCATCAGTTGTACCATTACTGGCGACTTTATCATTCACGCCAGCAAAATGGAAAAGTACCTTTTTTTTTTCACTCTCTGTAACCATAAAAGAAAGAGCATGAAACAGCAGAAATTTGTAAAAATGTTATGTATAAATAATTTTAAAATTATAATGATTATATTTTAAGATGAACTAAGAATTTTTTTTTCTTAATTTAATTTCAGGATTGTGTAAAGAAATACCATCACTCTCCATCACAGGTTTAAAATCAATACAAATTCTATGATTTAATTTTTTAAAAATCATCATGAATTCAATTTCATTGCAATGAAAAAAAGAAAAAACAAAACATTATCAAAAGTTGATGAATTATTACAAATGAAATATTACAATACAATAAATATATATATTATTCTTTAATGCCTTTTAAACTGCAATAATATATTATTTAACAGTGAAAAAAATATTTGCAATAAGATTAATAAAAAAATCTGCTGTTGAACAGCAATTTGGTAGGTTATGCCAAGAAAGTGGTGAATATTTTACTGTCCAATTAGAGAAGCAACTACACTCACAGCAAAAATCGTCATCCATCTACAACAAAGATTTACAATTTATTCAGACTGTTGGTAAACACATAAAACAGAAGAGTTGAAAAAGCAGGTTACAGACATTTTAATTAACTATAGATTTCATTTTGATTCAACAACAACTGTTCATTCACAAAATGATGAAATATTGTTGCGCTCCAAATCAGTGAGGTATGGTTCGACATCATGCATCTTAGCTTGCTGTGAGGATGTTACATACGTTCACCACGATACTTGCCCAGTTCATGTGGTGAAAGTTCTTGCGAGAAGCAATGCTTCAGATGTCATGCTAATCAATCATGGAAACATGCCAAATTATATGAAGTAAGCATGAACTTGGCGATAATCCTGGCACCAACTTGACATTTAAAAAAACAGGTGCTACAGTAATAAGAAATATCAAAACTGCTTAAACAGATTACATTGAAAGAAATGTTTAATATAAAAATAAATGCAAGCATTAAGCCTGTTTTTATTTGTAAATTTTATTTCACTCAATATTATGAAAATATTTTATTATTTCACAAACAACTATTTTATACATTTAATATTATAATCTCTCCATATCATCCTACTAAATTTGAAATGAAGATCTAAAATCTAGGAATTTCTGAAATTCCGAATTGTCGAAATCCTGACAATTCTGAATCTTGGACTTTGTACAGCATTCCTGAATATCTGAATTGCAATCACTGGTCAATTCAGATTCGGGAAAAATATTATTATATTCCTTCAAAATATGCAAAATACCATATCTGCCGACGTATAAGATGCACTCCCATTTTTATATACATTTTTGAAGAATAAAACCTTATTGCTAATTATTATAGTAAATTTACAATATTTTAAATATAAAGTAATATAAATTAACACTTTCTGCAAATCTATGAGTTTTTCAGATCCTCTTCCTGATTCTTATCATTTTCCAAGTTGGGGGTACGCCGAAATGCCGCTCTGCAGCCTTGTTTCCATGTCCTTTTGCATACACAATCACACGTAGCTTGTATGTTATTTTATAACAATGCCTACATTGTTTTTGAGCCATAACTTGCCAACATTTTTAAGAAAATTGAACAGTAGAAATTCTACACTTTTAAAAGCCATTCACAAAAATTGGAAAGTTTAAACAAACCCAGTGTGATCATCGATAACAGTGCATGTGCATTCACTGAAATCTACGTAACTGTAATATTCCCACCCCCTCACAAGGAAATGAAAAAAATTCCGTAACTCTGAATACAGCTAATTTCCATAAATGAATGTAATCAAAAACTGAGTATAGACGTATAAGATGCACCTCATTTTTCAGACCTGTTTTCAAAGAAAAAAAAAACATACATCGTAAATGCCGGCAAATATGAGAAATAGCATGGCATATATAGAAAAACATTCATAACCATAATTCTGATTTTATATTTTAATCAGAATTGCTTAGTATTGCAACAGAGTTTTTTTTTTTTTTTTTTTTTTTTTTTTTTTTTTTTTTTTAGGTTTCAGGTGGAATAGATCGTGATTCTATTCCATAGAATTAATTTTTCATGAGTTCACAAGAAGAGATCTAGCATAAGTATAACTTTAGCTTTGGATCCATGACGGAACAAGTTCATTTCGTTTCCTTTACCATTATCAAAAATGAATATTTAATTTTAATTGTTTATAAAGTGAATAATTAATTTTATGAATTTATAAAATGAATATATTTTCTTTTTACAGTCATTAAAAGATATAGTGGTGTTCTATCCTGATACAAGATGATGAAAGTGGATTCTTCCATGTTCTCAATTTGGGAATATGAAAAGCTCCATAATGTCTAAACACATGTCACTGATACATCTAATAGAGGATGATGCAAGTAGTTCTTTCTTCTATGTTCTCAATATGGGAACATAAAAAAAGCTTCAGAACAACTAAATACATATTACAGATACATCTAATACATCTAAATACATGTCATGATTTCACATCACGAGTTCCGAGATACCATGAATTTGAAAAATTGAACATTTTAAAATAAAATAAGGTAAAAATATATGGTACTATTCCGTTTTGAGGACCGTAAAAGATTGCAGTGAAAATGTCTGTGCAAAAGTGCCAAATCTAAAAAATGACACTGCGCACACCCTTGACTTTATCTATGTACACATTGACCTATTTTCACTTAAAAAGTAAAAGAAAATTGACAAAAATCCAATTGTTTTTAAGCCTTGTAAAATGCGGCAAACGAATAAGTGGGAAAGTCTGTCCTTTACCAAGAATTTTTTCAAAGAAAAGGCATCATTCATTATAGAAAATTATGTTTGAACAACCAACGAGATGAAATTATGCTTTAGCGATAACTCAGTAGGGATAGCGATGCAGGCATCCATTCAGTTATGTTTAGCAATTTTTATATAAATTATAATAATGATCTTAAATAGTTATTTACTCTTATCCTTCATTCAGTCCTGTTTAGCCTTTTTTACATAAATTATAATAATAAAAAATTATTATATGAAATTAACCTTTCATCTAAATTAAAACATCAATCTTAGTTATTTATTATTATACTTCCTTTCTTGCATTAGGGTTGCTGCAATTATTTTTGGCAGCACTAGCATCAACAATAGTTTGGTGATTTTTTACAGCCCTCAAAACCGAATAGTACCAAATATATTTATGGGTGCCCCTTGGGGAATATCGATGATTTTTGGCGGTACATAGACACCCAGTTTGTGCATTTCTTTGATTTGTTACTTTGGCTTTATGTAGCAGAGATGCCAAAAGTTTATGTAGCGAAAACTCGCCGCTACACAAATTCAAAATAACGAGTCAAAGAATTGCACAAACTCTGTATCCATGTACACATTGACCTAAAAAAATCAGATAATTGCACAACTAGGCATTGCGCTCTCTTTTGACTTTGTCCATGTACACATTGATGTATATTTTCTCAAAACGTCAAAGGAACAGCCAACCAAAAATATGTAATCTCAATAAACTATATTTTAAATCAAATATTGAAATAAGAAAAATTATCTGAACTAGAATCTGTATACTGGCATCGCCACATAAATTCACAAAAATTAGATTAAAAAATATCCTCTGTAGTGCTGGTATCCTCTGACGTTTGACCATATGCATTTCCTTCTCACAAACAGGACACTTATAATGATTACTAAATTAACCTTCATTTACACACCAGGCAATTAATGCTTTTATCCCCTTCATTCCAAATCGTAAAGGAATTAAAATTACCCTTACCACATTCAGCCATTTTACCATGTAAAACATAACATAACCAACATTCTTCCTAACCAACACACACACACACAAGCCCTTAAAAATCTTTTCCCACCACTCTAAGTCACCGCAATCATGCAACCAATACGTTATAATAAGGTTTCCATAACATTCAACTACTCAGATTACCATAAATGAAACAACTTAGCGATAATCCAAGGTGCCCCCTTAAATCTACTCTAACCTAAAATAGTGCTATATTTGGGAATTTTACATTACCTTTGTCAAGTTCTGTAAGAGCAGAATTAGCATCTTGATCAGGTTCACAGGATGATGTTTCTCCAATAATTGAAAGACGCGCAGAAACAGAAGCCATTTCTAAAGACAAAAACATACATACAAACAAATTTTCATTTAATCAAAAATACATACATTTAAAAAAAAAAAAAAAAAACAAAAAAAAAAAAAAAAAAAAAAAAAAAAAAAAAAAAAAAAAAAATGCTTTCCATCTTGAACTTCAATGTAAAACATTTGATATGCAAATCTAATTACCAAGTGTAATACACAAAAGATGTTTAATACAGTGCTTACATATTATCACAATGACTTTGCAAGCTGTATGATTTAATACCAGTTATAAATAAGCATGACTTTATAACACGGCTGGGTATGCCTTGACAATCCTGCTAAATTAAAAAAAAAAATTATGTTGTCCAGTGCAGCTGTAATTCACTACAACATCTGTATTTTCATTTGATATAAATCTGGACAATTTTTGATAAGCCATCTTTAATTTTTATGAACAAGGATATAAATTAACTATAATTACTGCATTTTCCCCCTGCATTATGGGAAAAATTTTGAGGGTTGTAGAATAACATTTGAAACATCTGTGAAATGGACAAAGACCAGCTGGATACGGTCAACTTAACAACAGATTGAAGCAATTGAACCTGCTGGACGGTTGCACTTATGTTGTTCTTAAGAAAGCTTCTGGTAAAATAGGATAGCCCATCAAAATAGCAGAAATTGATGAATTTTTATTACAAAATGGATTGAATGCTGATGGAGCACTGACTATTTGGTGGATTGTGCAGGAGACTGACAAATGCGTTAACCCTTTCCGGCACAATTCATAGAAGAGCAGAAGAAAATTAATAACAATTAAATTTACCAACAAAATACAAACCCTTGCTGAACATCATATCTCAAGTAGAACCTTCAGGGCATGGAGTGACAATTGCAGGCTTAAGAGATCCTCAACCCTCCAACATGACCAAGATATTAGAAATGACATCAACCTCAAATATGAGACTTTCAAAATTTCCAAAGAGCCTTACAATATTCTGTGCCCTCTCCCCCAAACAAAAATTTATTTAAATCTCTTACAGCCTTGTACCAAGAAAGATCCCACCGCAATAATAATAATAAAAAAAAAAAGGGTGACCATACCATTGAGGAACTCATGATCTTAACTCAAGATCTGACGATCGCCTACACAGACAGCTCTTACGACTCCAATTTGAACAGAGGAGTGGGGGTCTTTTCATCGGAGGAGTTGGAACGTCAGACCAGACGGAGTGCAGAAATGCCACAGTATTCCTGTTGGGAAAATCGCCTTCAACTATACATGCGAGCTCGTCGCCATCAAAAGTGCTCTGGAGATTTATCTCTCTAAAGAAGACCAGAGTTCCAAAGGCATCATCATCTTCTCTGACTGCAGATCAGCATTGCAAGCGATCCAGAAGGGCAAATGTCAACTCAGTCATCAGATGATCGAGCTCACAAACAAAATCATTGCTGCCCAAAGATCCTGCATCTTACAATGGATACCGGCTCATGTAAATATTTTTGGTAATGAGAAGGCTGATGAGCTTGCAAAGGCATCCCGTGATTCTCCTCAGCCATCTAACTGCCTAACCCTCGTTGATGCCAATGCAGTTGCCAGCCAAAGACTAATCGGTCAAGTTAAAGGAAACTCCATCCCGGAATTGAACTGCGACAGAGTCATATCGACTATCATAACTAGACTTAGGACAAATCACTTAAAAGGGATGAGGATTTCTGCAGACGGACAGTGTAGTTACACCAACATTTGTCCTCATTGCCCAGATGACATCCCACTGTCTCGCCATCACATCTTCAGCTGCCTAGCAATCCAGGCCAGACTGTTTAACATCGGCATTGAAGACCCAGTGGACGTACTTTATACTGATAGAGCTGCCGAGGTTGCTATATAATTGCACTTTGACATAGACACTACACCATCAACCCTTTCCGGCACGCTATATTTTTGTTGGAATTTCAAAAAAAAAAAAAAAAAAAAAAAAAAAAAGGGGGGGGGGAGTAGGCATTCTAGTCAGACATAGAGGAGTACACAGGTAAAATTTTGTGAAGACAGTACTTATCGTTTTAATTCTGTGGGTGTGCCCAGAGTTGGCACACTGAATGAATGGAGCTTTGAAAAGAGTGCTAAAATGAGCATTGCTAGGAAACACAAAAAAGAGTAAGAGATTTTGAATATGATTAAAAAACACTAGATCCTGAATACTGTAGCAGATTTAGTATTACCCAAGGTGTGCCACAGAAAAGCCTGCCACTGCAGCCCCCTAAAAAATTTCTTCTTGGTTGTATGATGATTACATGCACATGAATGGAAAAAAAGTAACTTGGGTATATGGTATTTACACTTTCATCTATTTTTTTCATGGTGGTATTTTTCGAAGAAAGTGACATCACCATTCAAAAGTACAACCCAATATTGCATGTTTAGCACATGTACTGGGATCCATATCAGATTCATTATCTGAAAACAATTCGTGTAGCACTTTCAGTGATTTAGCCTTCTCCGATCCATTTGGGAAGTAATTGAAAATCCAGAAAAAATAAACTAATATTATACCTACAATTAGAAATTATAAACTATAAAATAAAATTAAATAAACATCTACAACTCAAAACTAACAAATATAGCTCCAACAAAACTTCTTTAAACAAAGAAAAACCAAAACCATACAGTTAACTGATAAAATTACCCCTGCCCTTCAGAAAATCACTCTGCAATTTCTTAGTTGATAACCAAACTTCTCCTAAAAATAAATACATTAAAAAAAAGAAAGAAAGAAAGAAAGAAAGAAATGAAACACAGATGTGGACCCACCTTTCTATTGTCAATGAACTGACCGGAGAGCTGGAGAGAAACAAAGATACAGTTAATTTAGAAGTCAAACAACAAAAATCAGCCTTATGTTTTCAAATTTTCACATGACTAATTTTGATGGTTTTACTGAACCATCATCTAGAGTTGCAAATCATATTCCTCAGCTGCAATCCTCACCATACTTTTTTTCATTTGCATTTTTTGCATCTGAGGAATATGGTTCAGTAAAACCATCAAAACTAGTCCTCTTAAAATTTGAAAATATAACGCTGATTTTTGTTGTTTGACTTCTAAATTAATACTTGTTTGGCGTGTTATTGTATCTTAAAGATGCAGTTGTTGGTCTGGTCCTAGTCTCTTAGTGATCCCACTCTCGGCACACCAGATGTTCGTTGTTAAAATTTAGTCAAGATTTCAAAGGAAAAATTTAAAACTAATATAGAATAAGGAGATTAGCATACAGCCAAGAAAATAAAAATTTCAGGTTTTCATCCGCAGAGAACCCGTTGGCGCCGTTGCATTTTTACTCGCCAAGCTCGTGGTTCATCGGCGATGAGCCGAGCCGCGCCACAAACGTGATATTTTTTTGTAAACGTGATTTTTAGTGCATGTAAATTCAAGTTAGCAGACAAAACAATATATTAAGCATATGGTAGTAAAAATTCACAGATAATAAGCATGTAGATGTAAAACTAACCACTGCTGAATTGGTTAACTGTTCGTTTAACAAAACGTGATATACGAAAATTATATTAAATTCAATTTAGCACAGAAAAGAATATATTAAGTATAAGACAATATATAAGCATTTATAACGGAAATAAAAATTCATTTGAAAAATATAAATTAGTATTAATGTACTGAAAAATTAACCTGTTAAACGTGATAAAAAAAAAAAACAAAACAAAAAAAAAAAAAAATTGTCTTAAATTCCAGTTAAGACAGAAAAACATATATTCCTTACACCAGCAGTGGTTTGCTAATTTTGATGACCCATGGTGATGCATCAAACTATTCTGTCATGTTGGGATAATGAATAATCTTTTTTATTTCAACTCAATCATCTATTTATGTCACACTTGTCATCCTCTGAAAGGTTATTGTTAGAAAAGCATATTAACAATATATTATCTTGTTAAAAATTTACGCCAGAAGAAAATTGATTTATTCTCATAATTTTAGATGACAATAACCAAAATAATAAAAATAAAAGCATTACTTAGTAATTTAAATTGGCTGGTTCTTAGAGCTGTTAATAATTAAGAACACAACGTGAAACAGCCGTGTTACAAATTAGCTTCACCCCTCCCGCCGTATTTTCTTCCTTTCATCCCGAACCGAGAAACTGGCATCTATCTACGAAAAATATTTTCTATCTATTCATTGTTAAAAAATTCAGAAAAAATAATAATAAGTAAGAGAAGAATAATATAAATCTGCAAATGCAAACAATGACAGTGATAATTCAACAAAATGAACGCAAGAGGATTGGTTGCAAACTTCGAACGAGCGAATAGGATAAATCCGCTGGGTTCCCAGGTTTGAACTATTATCGCCAAAGTTGGCGATGTTTACATTTACCGGGTTCTCTGCGGAAGTGCTTCCAAAATTTCTTTTATATCCTAAAAAAAAATCTGATTGATTTCTTCGAAAAATGAGGGTCTTTAAAAACTAAACATGACTAAAATATATGGACTGGTTTGTGTTGTGCTGCCATCTAGTAAATAAATTAATAAGTAATAAAGTACATCTAGTAATAAAGAACATTCAAAATAACCTATAAATGCTTTTTCATTAAATTTTTAAGTGTGCCCACATTGGGCACACCGTGCTGTAAAGGGTTAAACAGAAATATGGCTCAGAATTATATAGGAATAATTCCAACAACTTTGGTGGGATATCTAACAACTTTTAACAGCAGACAGGATAATATTCAAGTAGCTTTACTATTCTTATTACAGTAGCTTTAAACACGCACACACACAAAAGTATTAAAATTAATGTGATTATGACTTCAGATAGTGAAGCTGAAAAAAATACCAGAATCAAATTATTTATACATGTCCACAGGAAAATAGTATTCAAAGAAATAACGGATTTTCATATTTTCAAACCACAATGAAATATTTCAAATAATTATAAAAATTAAAATAAAAATAAAATTAGAAACAGACTATCAAAATTCCTAAACTTTTAGTTATGAAAATTTCTTTTTAACTAAATGGAGTTAGATTAAAAACCCAATCAGATGTAAACAAGAAACTTCCATTTTAAGGCGCTCACAATTATTATCAAGAAACATATAAACTACATGTATTTGACAATGCATCAATGCATATAAGCATACTTTTAGGAAAATTAACAGACACAAACTTTATGTATACCAGTTTTAGTGGAATCAGAGCAGCTACAGTTTCTTCACAATAAATAAAGAATTTATTTAAAAAGTTTGTACATAAATTAAGTTTATGCCGGTCGGCATCATACAACGAAACTTTGTCAATTTGTTTACAAAATGTGCTTCTCTGATGTGTTGCCAAACATCCAATACTTAAAATGCACACCGGGAAAAAACATTGTTCTCCCATTTTTTAATGCGTATGTTTTTTATGTTCTTAGATTCATCGTGATTTTGAGTAATGTAAGGACGTTGACTTTGGTATTATTCTTAGAAATCAAGAACTGACAATATTTTCATTTTCTTGTCAGTGATGTTTTCAGCACAATTAACTTAATAATGAAAACTTGAGTTATTGTGCCGAAGTATTCCATATCTTTGTGTTTCTATGCAGACTAAAAAGTAGAGAACATATAGTACGTCCGGAAAGATCAAGCATCAGCCAAAAGTAGAGCTCCTAAAGATTACATAATCCTTATAGCGACTTTAGCAGAAAATTCGCATCATAAATCCACTTTTATCATTGGATGTGACATTTAAGAATTTGGACATAGTTTCACTCGCAAAAAAGCTTTTAAATACTTGCACAGTTCATTATTATCAAGCAAAGCACATATAATATTTGATTGACCAATATCATGATCTAAATATTGAGTATTTACCAAATGATTGAAGTATTAACCTAAAATCTAGGAAAAATACTTCAACTTTAACTATTTGAAAGAGTCCATTGCATTGTAGCCGGGTACGTTAAGTTTATCTCGGTAGCGCCATTTTGTCTTTTGATCTTTGAATCTTGTACGTAGAAGATGTCTGAAAACGTGAAAGAAGAAGTTTTCGCTCCTGAAGCGGTTAAAAATGAAAACAGAGATAATCGTCGACGGGACAATAGGCAAGGAAGACAAATGGGACGTGGACAAGCTAATGACAATAATCAATGGGCTAGAAAAGATGTAGTAAAAGAAAGGTTGGAGTTCATGAGTGGCCCCACTACCAATTTAGTTAGTAAAGAAAATGTTTCTGCAAAGAAGTTTACTGGTCGCTGTCGTTTATTCGTTGGAAATTTACCTCCTTCTATTACAGATGAAGAATTCCGTAAAATGTTTGAGCAGTTTGGCGAAATTGCTGAAGTGTTTCTACATAAACAAAAGGGTTTTGGCTTTGTAAAATTGGTAAGTAAAATAACTTTGTATTTAGTAAGAATCAGTAATTTTTAAATTAGGATTTCCCTGAAACATTTTTTAAGAAATCGCTTGTAGTTTTTATTATCTCATAAATTATTGTAAAATAAAAATGTCATGCTCATCCTCTTGGTCGTAAGTTAATTAGTTTTATGTAAGGACTAAAACACAGTTTATATATTCGACCATAATGATAAGCATTATACATTTATGTCCATCGTTATGCTGTAAAGTTAGTTTGTTGTGTAAGGATTGTGTGTAGCATATTTTGGAAAGGTTAATAGAGTATGTTTCGTGGTGTATGTAGATCATAGTTTACACATTTAATTTATAACAATTTGTAATTTATTTACATTTATCATTATAAATGTCTTGTACGTTGTTATTTAAATTTATTGCTTGCGGTATTCTTTTTGTGCTGTGAATTTTATTAGGTTCGTTATTTTCATATACGCCGTTTATAATAATAACTGAATGTGATTCCAAATGGATTCATTATTAATGGTCCTGGAGATGATTACGTTAGAAACTCTTGATTAATCATTGCAAATTGGATACTTAATGTAATATTAAGATATGCTTCATTAATATTAAGATATGCTTCATTTTATATGAAACTTAGTGCTTTGATAATATATGCTGAAGTTAATATGAAGTTTTAGAGCATAACATTGTTTCCAGTTGTTGTAATGGATTATGCCATTGCCCAACAGTAAGTAAATTTAACTTAATATCAAGAAACCAAAGCTTAAGTTGATGTTTGATACTCCATGGCCTTTTAATGAACTTGAGTCATTGTCAAATAGTTAATATATATATATTATGTACCACAGTACTATATATTTGTTATAATTTATGTGTAGGATACTCGTCAGAATGCTGAAAATGCGAAAGCGGCATTGGATTTCACCAATAAAGATGGAAAGTCTCTGAGAGTTAGATTTGCAACTCATGGGGCAGCCTTGAAGGTGAAAAATCTCTCACCGTGGGTGTCAAATGAGCTTTTAGAAGCTTCATTTGCAATATTTGGTGAAGTCGAGAGAGCTGTCGTAATCGTTGATGACCGTGGAAGGCCTGTGGGAGAAGGAATTGTTGAATATTCTCGCAAACAGTCAGCACAGATGGCAATTAAGCGATGTACAGAAGGGTGTCTTCTGCTCACAAGGCAAGTAAATTTTTTTATCTTTTACAATTGTTGTCTGAAGGGCAGTAAAATCCTTTTTTAAGATTCTCATAGACTGGAGAGTTGGAAAATTTTAAAAAGGTCTGTAATAAAAGCTATAATGAGCAACTTGCTAAGAGTTTCAGAGAGACAACAGATCTTCATGCGATATGTGATACATTTTTAAAGTAAGTGATTCTATTCTAATCTTTGTTTAAACTAACTCTGCATAAAAGAGACCTCATTACAGATTTTTATGGGATGTATCATAAATTTTAATGTATAATTATATGTGTGTGTGAACAGGGTTGCTATATTATTGTGTATTATATGACAATTAGAATTATACTGATAATAACATAATAGGGATGATCATCTCATTACATGATAATAATTATTATAGGTTAGATTTGACTTTAAGGTACCCCTTGTATTATTGCGAAATTATGGTTTCATTTATCGCCAAGTTGGTGTCTCATTTATGACAGCCTGAGTAGTTGAATGCTATGGAAACCCTATTATGACATAATTGGTTGCGATGAATTTGAATCATGGGAAAGAATTTGGAAAGTAAATGTCAGGTTTTGGGTAAAGGCTTGTGTGTGTTGGATAAGTACATTGTTATTTTGTGGTTTACACGGTAAATTGCCTGAGTGTGGTAAGATTAATTTGAAGTTTCTGTAGGATTTGGAACGAAAGGAAAACATTAATCGACTGGTGTGTAAATGAAGGTTTACTTAGTAGTCATTATTAAGTGTATTGTTTGGAGAAAGGAAATGCACATGGCCGAACATCGGATATTTTTGAACTGAGAATATTTTTTACTTTTTTATGTGGTGACACCAAATACAGATTCAAGTTCAGATAATTTTAGGAAGTGTTTGGGTGCTGTTAAGGAATTTTGGGTACTTACGTATTATCGCAACCAGGCCAAAATTCGCATAAATTGCCAAATTTTGGCGACCCTACTTACAGCAACCCTACGTGTTATACATAGTTTTGTAAAAAGAGCATGTGGAGATTCACAAAATTTTCCTGCATTTTCGTGCAAATTTTTGTAATTTATGAGAAAATAGCAGTGTACATGGATAAAGTCAAGAGTGTGCGCAATGCCGTTTTTGTAGAATTCTGGGATGTTTTTTTTAAGTAAAAATAAGTCGACGTTTGTACATGGTTTATGGCGAATACGGTTTTCAATCAGGTGTTAAAAAGCAATAGCCAAAAGATTTCCGCCGAAATATAATTCTGCAACTTATTCAAATTCGAAACCGGAAGGGTTTTAATTGCTATTTTATATTTTAAAACAAAAATATAAAAAATTGTATTAAAAAATTATCTGTAATTAATAAATGTACATTTTCTTTCTATTCATACTTTTTTACTCAAACTTACAAATAGCGCCAACCTGGTTGCGATAATACGTAAGTACCGAATTTTGTTTAACTGAAGACTCAGAAATAAGATAAGCGAATACTTCCCTCGTGTAGTGCTAAGATGAATTTCCTTTTTTATGTTATTTCATTGTTTGATTTTAAATGTAGTTTATTCAGATTATATATTTTTTGTTGGCTGCTCCTTTGACATTTTAAGTGAATATAGTTTGATGTGTACGTAGATAAAGTCACGCGAGTGCGCAATGCCATTTTTGTGCAATTCTGAGATGTTTTTTAAGTAAAAATAGGTTGATATGTACATGGATACAATTCTTTGTCTTGTTATTTTGGCTTTGTGTAGCGGCGATTTTTGGAGAAAAATTGTCACTATGCAAGCCAAAATAACAAGTAATTGAGCAAATTCGTTATCCGTGTACCGCCAAAAATTGCCAAGTATTGCAAAGGGATACCCTAAAATATACTTTTACCGTATAATTATATGTGGTAATGATTGCTATATTACTGCATATTATGATGGACTAATTATAATTTCATAATAATAGGGACAAAATCTCATTAAATGGTTATGTAATGTGTAAGAATTCATATAATATATATTTATATAATGATTACATAATAATGTGGGCAATGATAATTATATTATAATAGGAGCGACAATCTCATTAAAAAATGTTTTTTTCATTTCCGCTCCAATCAAGGAGGAGACAAACATCTAACCTCATTGGATGACATGTAAGAAGCAAAGTAAAATGCTCACATGACCATCATTACACACCCTAAGAAGTTTTCCGTATATTCTCATAAAGTTTCCAGTTACTCAGGCTTCTACAGTAACCTCAAATGTCAGCAGAACTGTATTCGGGTTGGTAGCCGAACGTGGCGGTGATCGCCGAGGGCTGGTTATTCAAAAACTGCCGTTAATGCTTTTAGTGGCAGATCTTTAATAAAAGCTATAATGACGTATAACAACTTATTAAATTCCAGAGAGGCTACAGATTTTTTTTTTTTTTTTAATATTCTAACCTTTATTAAAACTAACTGCTTAAAAGAGGCCTTGCTACAGATTTTTATGTCATTTGTGATAAATTTTTAAAGTAACAATGTTTGGTAAAAATTTGCTCTATGGGGCACCTCTTGGCGAACCAATTTTTATATATATATATCAAGATCTGCGCCAGAAAGGATTGGCCCGACGCCAAGAGGGAAATGACATTAAAAGACGCTTTCCAAAATTTCCCTCTTGAGCTCGATATAGGAGAGAAACCCGTGCTTGGCAAAAATCGCCTGAGGCTATAAACCTGAGGTCTTGACGCGTTTGCGTTAAAAAAGGTAAGCAATACACATAGAACTAATTTAGTTATTGATGTGGTTAAGGTAATGTTAGTAATAGTTAAATAATAATAATAGTTAAATATGTTTGAAAATATGGTCTTCATATAAATGCAGTAAAGATCATGCAAACGGAATATTTATCACGCAAGTAACATTAAAAATTTTAAAAGATCGAATATACATGAATATACTATTTTTTTAAAAATAAAACTTTCATTTCCCACATTACATTTTATGTTGATTAACTAAACCGATCGTTATAGATTTATTTTTACTCTCTATATTAAAATAACCTTATGTCATCATTTTACATAGAATAAATATTTTATATAAAATTATCCATTCACATTATATTACAAATAAAATAAATTAGATAAATCAAATAAAATATTAAATGTATTATTTTGGAATTACGAATTATGTTAAATTTGAGCTAAAAATATATCAAACTAAAACACTGGTAACGCACATGAATAAAGGGTTATTAGCAGACAGATGAAAATGCAGAAATAAATATTAATAACTTCTAAAATATGAAGAAATTACAAATATTCCAAAGTTACAGAAATAAAAATTTTAATATAAATAAAAAATAGTAATTCAAATATGCAAATATCAATAGATGGAAATAGATAAAAAATTTATTTGAAAAAATGCTTGCTTTGGCAGGTGATTCCTTTTGAAGTGTTACACACAGAGCACTGAACCAAAATAGTGTAGATTCAGAGGTCAAGTTCATGGGGTTTGGCGCGTATGTCATTTCATGAAAAATCTATTCCCAGTTAATAATCAATATTTCATAGAAAAATTTATTTGATCAAAATTACTAACATAAACAGTAAAAATGTATTATATATTTTTATTTGTTAACATAATTTTGCATTAATAAGTAACAGATATTTTTTTGATAATAAAAGGTTTTGTAAAATTAAATTTGATAGATGATTGTGCAATAAAAGTGTTCCTTTTTTTTAATATGTGTGTCTTTAATGTTGTTTATAAATCAAATGAATGAAAAGGTAGGTATCTGAATTTTAAAGCTAAATTGACAATAAATTGGATTCCACAAAGCAAATAGTACAGTGCAGCTTAACCGTAACCGTTCATTGAAATAACCTTGATTTAGAAAAATATAGCAGGTGCAAAATAAGACATCTGTCTCTTTAAAAAAAAAAAATTCCCGTTTTTTACAGGTTTTCAAAAACCAGCTTTTTTTGAATTTATTAGCACAGAAGCAGAATTTTTTCCCCTCCGAGAAAATCAGTTTTTATGTAGGTAAACAAAGAAATGTAATCCTGAATTGCATAACTGCAGGGAAACAAGATTTCTAACAATATATTTTGGTTATGTATTTGTTGCAAATATAGTGATGCAAAAATTTTAATATTTATATTCATTGTCATTAAAAACTAACATGAGTAACAACATAGCAGAAAAATCTATGAAGATAAATCTTACTCAAAGATTTGATGATATAAATTTAATTAACTTTTATTTGTTTATCTGTGAAAGAATTTTGCTCATGTTTAAATTTTTTACTGATACGCCGAATTCCCCAAAATCCTCTATGTAAAAAAATCACTGAAATATACTTGACATAGAAAAGTAGCAGAATATTGTTTCTTTAATGTTTTACATTAACTTATTAGCATTTCAAAGTATTATAAGCTTTTTATTTCAATATAGACCTGATTTGGAGGGATTAAAAAATTGCTTGTATGATACAGAGTGTCTGTCAGCGAGATAGCGGTAAAACTGTTGCACACTGGTAGTTTGTCTTGGAGTTTGACTAACGGATTTCTGCCATATTAAGCAAATAACCCGCGAGTGCTTTTCTTATTCTAAATAATTCGTGTTAGGAGTACAATTAATTTATTTAGAAATTAATTCCTGTTTGTTAAGGCTAGATATACTTTGCGCACTTGAAAAGCACGTAAACTCTATGCACTTATATCTATAACTTTGGATTACAGTGTCTAATCAACACCTTGAAAGGGTTGTAGGAAAAAATGTCACCCGGAAAAAAGGGAAACGGAAAGAATGTCCCCGGAAAATACCCATATACTTAAAGATTAAGTAAATAATTAAAAAAATGTGCCAATGCAAACGATAAGTTAAAAAAAGACCATATGTTATCTACTTTGTTGTAATTATAAAGGTAATTAATTTAAAAGGTTATTAAGTTATTTAGAAAATAATATAAGGTGTAATTAAATGGCAACTGGGATTCCAGTATTAATTATTATATTATTTAAGTAATTATGAATTAATTTGATAATATTTAATTTTTAAATCATGAATAATTTTATTTTCTAAAATTTTTGTAATATAGCGAAAATAGCAAATGGTTTATGGCAACTTGAAGCCCATCTCTGGTAATTAAATAATAATGATTTTAATAGTATTTAAACATCTTATACAGTCAAAAGTCGTTAATTCGGACACCCATAATCTGGACATCAAAGCTACAATCTTTCTGCGCATGCGTCGCGTTGACGCATGCGCGTAAGACCTTTACCGCTGCGAATTTGCTCGTGCGCAAAATATGTTTACGAATGCGTGTTTAATGTATAACGGACGGGATAAGCTAAGCTAAAATAATCTAATTATCTATTTCAGTTAATGTTGCAGATTGCGTTGTTCCTTAATCTTCGAATTGGATCCGGATTATTATTTTTTGCAGACTGTTAGAGCAATTTTATAAAAGTAAGCTTGAACTTTCGATTATGTCAAATAGAATTTCCGATATTTATTTACTAATATGTAAAGGATATACAAAGCGAAAGTATCTTTCGGAGTCCATTAAACAAAAAATGGAATTGCTGCAAAATATGGATAAAGGCATATTCTTTGTTTATCTAAACTTTAACGTTTGTTTATCTTCGCGCGTGCAATGAATTGGAAGTCCTTATCTTAATCACCGAAGTCCCGACGAGTCCAGATTAACGACTTTTGACTGTAGATTTTAATAGTCTAATAAATAATAATATTTTGTTCTAATAAAATAATTAAATAGCGAATGATCATACGGAGCAACAAACAGCTTATGAGCGTATGCACCATGTCTGTTGACAAAGTTACCTGATCAGCACAACGATTCATCTGCAAAGCCTTTTGACAGACAAAGCAAAGTATTTACATATAGAAAGAAAATATCCCTTCCCTTTTCCCTTTCTCCCTAGTGTAGTGAAGATCTAAGCTGGCAACCTAAACTGTCCCCAAGTTGCTGAATGCGATTTTAGGAAATTCGCCAAGTGCCTGTTATCTGAGCATCCCCAATGCCCATGAAGCCAGTTCTTGAAGCTGGAATCAAACCCATTTCAATTTACTAGTATTCAGCAATTACTGGCTGCTGGTAGAGCTCTGGAAATGAAATTTTTGTCATATGGTAAGAGTTGTTTGTGGCACTTGTGTTTCACACCAAAATTTGCTGGCTATCGAAAGGAAAGACTCTGAAGATTTTATAAACTTAAAAATTAATTATTACAAATGTTTGTGAAACAAAAATCTGAATTTATTGCCTTCATTAGCAAGAAAGTGTTCTAAAGTTGCATACCTAGCTGATATTCTTATACATCTGAATGTTCAGTAATCTAACAGGACTGGATTCAGAAATGTATGTGTTCAGGTATATATTGTAAGTACGTATGTATGTGTATACACATACATGCACTCATAAATACATTTTATAATCTGGTCCCAATAACAAAAGAGCACTGTTATGCAGGTAAAGGATGAGAATATTCTTACATCAAGTGACAAGCTGAATTGGTTCTTAAGAAAAATGCAACTGTAAGAGGGTAATGTTTCCTCTTGTAGCAGATATTGCCATTTGTTCTAGTCTCATTTTAGAACATTCTGTCCTGGAGTATAAAGTTTCTTCTTTCAGCATTAACCCTTTCGCCGTCCTCTCCTGTCCGCAAAAATTTACCTCCGGTGGCTGTCTGTTTTTCTTTTGTGTGTAATGTTGTTTTCTCTGTAGATCATAACTTTCCATACATGACTTTGTAGTGGATGAACATCGATGAATATTAAGTAAAATTACAGTCAAAAGTCGTTAATCCTCGTCGGGACTTCGGCGATTCCGGATTATAGATCATCAGTTTAAATCTGGTAAGATGACATGCAGAAATTATAAAATTAATATGAAACCGTAATTTATGAAATAAAGAACAATTATGATCTGAATGGTATCAAAATTTACAAAAAAAAAAAAAAAAAAAAAAAAAAAAAAAAAAAAAAAAGCTTAATATTTATTTGTTTACTTTAAACATTTCTTTCAATGTAAGTTGTTTTAAGTTGCTTCGTTTTTTATGTGATAATACATTCTCTTTAATTCTATAAACAGACATAATTTCTTGTTCAGTTACAAAGTTCCGCTGTTCAAGTCCTATAATTGCAGTGTCTACCAACTAATTTGTTAATCGAAATATTTTCGTTTTCAATAACCTCTGTTACTTTCTTGGCTATCGGAGGCGAATTATAATGACGAGGAATTTGATTTAAATCATATCAAAGATGGAGTACGTTGAGATGAAATACTACATTTAGTAAGGAATGTAATGTATTTTGCAGTAATTTACAAAACAGACAATCTTAGTAGAACATAAATTTTATTTCTAGTTCTCGGTGATAGACAAATTTTATTCAATTCTTAAGTGGCAAAATTTTAATACTACTCCTAGCTGGCAAAATCTTCAGAATACAAATTCTTTTTTAAAACAATCTCTCGTTGCTGAGTAACGGTTTGATATAAATATGGCGTTGCCACTTCAACAATAATTATATTTATTTATTAAATAACAAGATATTACAACCTCTTCCCCCTCCAGATAAACTTTAATTTATATTTTTATAAATTAAAGTTTACAGTTTTTAAAACAATAATATCAGCACAACACAGACTTAAATACAAGCATTTTTAAAGGAGAATTAAACAAGAAATAACATAATAACATACACTGAAGAAGAGAGGAAGGAACAAACTATTTTTTTTTATCTATATAGAGAAACAAATTATTTAATCAGGCCAGGGAGTACGACGTAATGCGTCTACATTTTTATGGTTTTTACCACTTCGATGAACGATCATGTAATTGTAGGGTTGTAGTACCAGTGCCCATCTCATAAGTCGTGGATTTAGACTCACATTATTTTTGAGCCAAACTAAGGGATTATGATCGGCCATGATGAGGAATTTAGTATGCCCGTCTAAATAACATTGAAGTTTCTTTACAGCAAATATTATGGTGGCGCATTCCTTTTCTGTGGTACAGTACTTTTTTTCAGTTTCTGTAAACTTCTTACTGAGGTATAATACTGGATGTTCATTGTCTCGTTCATCTTTTTGAGCTAAAATGACACCCATACCAGAGTTTGACGCATCAGTTTGCAAAATAAACTCCTTATTGAAATCAGGTGCATGTAGTATAGGCCTTTGAGACGTTTCTCCTTTAGCTCTTCAAATGCTCTTGTGCACTCTTCTGTCCAATTTATTTTCCCTTTCTTTAAGTTTCCTTTCAAAGTTTCTGTTAAAGGTGCTGCGATAGATGAGAACATGGGAATGTAATGATTATAATATCCCGTTAATCCTAAAAATGCTCCGACTTGACTTTTTGTGGATGGCACTGGAAAATCAAGAATAGCTTTTACTTTCACTTCACTTGGCATTCTTATACCACGACCTACAATATGTCCTAGATATTTTACTCTATCTTGAGCAAATTTACATTTTATTGGTTTAATAGTTAAACCAGCGTCCTTTATTTTGGACAAAACGGCTTTCAGGTGACTTAGATGTTCTTCCCAGGTGTTTGAAAAGATTGCCACGTCATCTAAATATGGAATAGCAAAGTTTTCACAACCGCGAAGGATTTCGGCCATCATTTTACTAAATGAAAATGGTGCATCCGTAGATAGTATCCGTAAGTCCAAAAGGCATCCGTAGAGGTCTAAATGTGCCAAAACTTGTAACAAAAGTGGCTAATCTTTGAGCATTAGGTGTTAAAGGTATTTGCAAGTATCCCTTTGTTAAATCCAAAAGAGTTATATATTTTGCGCCTGCTACCGTTTCTACTCGTTGTTCGATTGTTAGGCAAGGGGGAAAGGAAGAATTGTGTTTTAGTCAATTTATTCACTTTTCTATAGTCGATACAAGGTCTTGGATCCTTCCCTGCAACTTCTACTAAAATCATAGGATAAGTGTAATCTGAATCTCCTCCTATTTCAATTATTTTATGCTTAAGCATTTTATCGATTTCTGTTTTTAATATATCCGTTTGTCTAGGAGACATTCTGTATGGTTTACAGTGGATTGGGGTTGTTTTCTGTCAATTGAATATCATGCGTTATTAAATGAGTTTTTCAAGGTTTATTAGAAATGATTTTTGAAAACTTCAGCAGCATATCATGCAATTCTTGAATCTGTTGTTCATTTAGCTTATCACTTAAGGAGCTGTTTTCTTTGATGTTCTCAAAATCGAACAATGTTGGTTCAGAGTCAATTGTTGGGAAATTTTTCTCCATATCATCAATTTCAGACTGATCTTCTGTAATCATAAGGTTAACCGATTCTGCTCGTCTATGATAGGGTTTTAGCATGTTAACATGGTAGACTTGGTTAAAGTCATTTTTTCTTCGAAAATTAGTTTCGGATAATTTCTTCTCAACCTTCCCAGGACCTTTCCATTCAACTGCTAGTCTGGTTTATTCATTGACACAACTAATACTAAATCCCCTTCAGAGAATTCTCTTTTTATAGCTTTATGCGATCGTACCACACCTTTCTTTTGGTTTGCATTTCCAGCATTTTCAACACTGCTGTAAGCCATTACTCTCTTTGCATCTTTTTAACCGATTTATCAATTGGAAAAACGTATTCAAACAACATTCATTTCCTTCGTCTTCAGGATTCATCCATTGTTCATATAATAATGTTACAGGTGTTCTAAGATTTCGACCATATATACTAATTCTGCAGGTGTAAATCCCGTACTCTCGTGCGTTAGTGTTTTTAAAGCAAATAGAGCTGCGGGAACTTGCTTCTCCCACTCAGGGGCTGCTTCAATACATAAAGACTTTTAAAATTCGTTTGATTGTTCGGTGCAAAATCTTTCAACAGGGTTGCTTTGCGGATGGTGTATTGTACTGAGCTTCTAGTTACTTTTATTCCAAATTTTTCTACAAATTCTATGGCTAGATTGCTCATAAAGGAAGGTACCTTGATCAGTTTGTATTTTCTTTCGGGAAACCCATTCTACTAAATATTTATTTATAACATGGCTTCAATTACACTGACGTTGTGCCAATATTAGGAACAGGTACAGCATCCGGATATTTTGAAGCTAAACAAATAGCGATGTAATTAAATGTCTATTGCCATTCGGTGTTATTCGGTAAAGGGACCGCATGCGTCAAAGTTAATTTTTGAAAATACTTCTGCAATAATTGGTACTAAAGTCAAAGGTGCTTTCGCTTTATCATTAGATTTTCCCACTCTTTGACATGGATCGCAAGTTTTAACATTACTCTTCTATTTGTTTATAGCAATTAGGCCAGTAAAAGTATCTTGTTAATCTATCTTTAGTTTTGACGACTCCTAAATGTCCAGATGTGCTATCATGACATAATGACTTTATTTGATCCCTAATCCCTATAACTTTCAGGAAATAACAATTAATTCCCTTTCATTTCCATTTTTATCTATTTTCCTTTTTACCAACAATCCATTTTCTTTTACTTTGAAATCATTTGTCTTACTGGAATTTTCATTTTTAGCTTCGTTAAGCAATGATGCTAGATCTCTGCTTTGATGCTGAGATTCAATTAATTCCTTTGAATTAACATTAATCACTTTCTTAAGTTCCTTGTCTTCCTCATCAGGTTGAGGTAAAATATCTTCGTCAGTTTCAATAAACTTCAGTTCTTCTAGTTTCTCCATTTCAATTTCTCTGCTTCGATCATCTTCATGAGATCGTGTCAAAACTGCATTTATTTTTTCTAAATTTAAGAATGATTTACTTTTGAACAATTGGGCAGTTTTGTTACCCAATACATATCTGTCTGGATCATTTGTAACAACAGCTGCCTTTGTCTTTATATGACCAAGTTCGCAATTAATTTCAACTTCCGCTAACGGTAGACACACTAAATGGTCATTTAAAAGATATTGTACCCAGACATGTTCTCCAGTCATTTTTGCGTTATCTATGTATTTCCGAGAAATAACATCAACAGTGGCTCCTGTGTCTCAAAGAATAGGCATTTCATGCCCATTAACTAAACCGTTAATTGTATATGTCTAACAAATCATCATTCGAAGATACGCAATTTATCTTTTCATTTGGTTTTAAGCGAGGACACTGAGACTTAAAATGTTCGTATGATCCACACTCAACAATGTGGTCGATACCTTTTGTCATATAAATTTTCTTTGTTCTTGTTTTGAAATTGACTTCTTTGTCAGTGATCTTTCTGGTATTTTGAATCGTCCCATTTATCAGAATGCTTAAAATGAGGCGGATGCTCTATTTTTTTCACAAAATTATCATAACGCAGTTTAAATGATCCTTTGTTAATTTCTCAGTCTGATTGACAGAAAATTTCGGTTTTATTGTTTTCCTCACATCTTCAAAATCTTCAATTTTCTTAACTATTTCAGTAGGTGAAATGATGGTTGTCCATTGATCCATAAAATGTTCTTTGAAATCAGGAGAGGTAACGCTTTTTTTATTTGATCAACCAGCATGAGATCTTTTAGCTGTTCAAAAGTTTTAATGTTTAATCCGTTAAGCCATCCTTCTAAATAATTCTTTAATTCATAGTAGAAATCATACCAAGTACTTTCAGTAGATTTTTGGTGTTTTTATTAATAGTTTTCGAAATTTTTTCCGCCACTTAATTTAAATTGTTGTGTTGTAACAGTAAAGTTTTTACATATTCATACTTTTTCGCGTCCTCTTCTGGTTCTCTAGCAATAAGCTGAACAATGTCGGGAGGCAGCATAATGAAAAAATAGTTGAGTCACTTGATTTTCAGCAGGTTATTCATTATTTTAGCTTGACGCTCAAATAACACCAGAATAAACTTATTCATCTTTATAGGGTTGAAACGGCCATGACATATGAATTCTGATTTTTAACCTTTTAAACTGTCATGCCCGAATATGGTGTTAAAAAAAGTTCACGCCCTTCTCGGGGTTTTTTTTTTTTTTGAGTGCATCGTTGTCATACCCAAAATATATCGGGATATGTTATTTCGGCTACTTTGTTTTCCCAATAAAAAATTGACAATTTTTGTTGACCATCTCAAAATAACTTGACAGTAAAGGGTTTTCAAGGCTGCTCAGGTAACTGCATAGTTCTACTGGCTGTTGTGGCCGCCATTGCTTTCCAGTTGAAGTTTCTGTAGCTCAAAGGCTCTAATTCGCTCTTCTTTTCAAGCTCTTCTTTTCTTTCTTTCGCGTTCTTTTTTCTTCTCTTTCGCGTTCTTCTTTCTTTCTCTTTCTTTCTTTCGCTTTTTCTTCTCTTCGCGGTTCCTTTTATTTTCTTTCTTCTCTTTCGCATTCTTTTTTCGTTCCCTTTCTTCTCTAATTGCAGCCGTAGTTCTCGAGTAAACTCCCTCGTCATAATCGGGACTTTCGTAATCAGTTTATGCAATTGAGCAATCTTAAATTCAGGTTTCACGGTTAAAACTAACTCTTCTGCTAGTACTTTTAAATCCTGTTTTTTACTCCTAGCTAAGAATGACATGTTGACACAAGTTACTTTTAATAGGCTTCCTTTTGAAATTCAATCTAAAAGCTCGTACTTGTATTAAAAATATATAATTTCTGGCGAGATTTTTAATTTCTCGAATACGAAATTCACACTAACCAATTGGAGAGAATTATTTAAACAACTTTGCCAGGTTGGCACAAAAATAAATTTAATACTATGTCGGGGTTGACGTTTTAACTCACTATTCACAAGCCTCGTTAGCTATAACTATATAAACACCTTTGCCAGTTAGGCAATACAATGGAATTTTACCACGTCAGTTTTGACGATTTTACTATCTATCTCCACGCCTGGTTGGCGATAACAAAAACAATTTTTGCCAGTTTGGCAAAACAACTTTTAGAATATACAATCTGTAATACGTCGGGATGGCGTTACTATCTACCACACGCCTGGATGTCGAGAACTAAGAAAAAAACTTTTGCCAATTCTGCAGTATAATCAAATCACACTACGTCAGTTTGACGTTGCTACTTATTTTCCACGTGCCTGCTTGGCAAAAAATTCAAAATTCAGCTAGCAGTTCTCTCTCTTTTTTTTTTCTTTTTATAAACGCCGGGATGGCTTCCACATATCAATTATAACATAAATTCATATAAAAAGTAAAGCATAAATAAAATTCTAAAATACCGTAATTTGCGCTATAGTCCGTGGAATTGTGTTTTAAAATGGAATTTTGAAGCGCGGACTCCGCCAGTGCGGATAAACGCTGGTTGTTCCACGGTTTAAACGTGAATTTAAAAAACACGCTGTCGTGAACTGCCGAATGATCATAAAAAAAAGCGCGAAGATTCAAGAAACTTGTATGTAATGTTTAGTAAAACGAACATAGTAGCAAGAGCTAAAAAGGGCTCGCATCAAGCTGCCGGGGGCCAAAGAAAGTCTTGGATGGAGCATCATTAGCCACCAAAGTCTTGTATCAAAGTATCCTTCGCACTGCTTTAGTGCAACTGCCGTGAGGGGGGGAAAGTAGTTGATGCGTTAGCTCGGTTTTAAGGAGCCTTAGTAGCAAGTACTTGGAGTACAAAAAAAAAAAGCATGATTCGTTTACTTATAGGGTGGTTTGGCAACGAGTGAGTGGGGTCGAAGGTCACATTTCATTACCACTTATCATGAGTAAAGCACGTTGCACAGTATTTTGTTTTCGTATTTTGTCTTTCATCTTCGATAACGTTAATGAAACATTGCCGGAGTTTTACTGCTGAGTTTAAACTCAAGGTAGTTGAGAAAGCTGAGAAAGATGGAAATAGAGAAGTGGGCGTTATTGGTTTAAATCCTAGTATTCGGTGCACATGGGATTTGGGGGATTTTATGATGAGCAGTGAAAACGGGACATATACGATGAGTAGTTAACGGGTCATTCAAAGAAAATATATAGTTAAACATAGTTATACTATGTATATAGTAAACTATGTGTGTAATATA